GGATCCCTGTCTCTGATGTGACATCATAGAATCAGAGAATCTTGAGCTGGAAGGGACCCAAAAAGATCATCAGTCCAACCCTGGCCCTGTGCAGACACACCAACAATCCCACCCTGTGCATCCCTCAGAGCAGTGTCCAAACCCTTCTGGAGCTCTGGCAGCCTCAGGGCTGTGCCTAAATACCCCCTGGGGGAAGAACCTTTCCCTGATGTCCAGCCTAAACCTCCCTGACCCAGTCTCAGCCATTTCCCAGAGTCCTGACACGGGGCACAAGAACGAAGAAATCAGAAAATCTCACAAGGGCCCACGCGGGTTAAGCCATGCCTGGACCAGCACCAAATTCCAGCCAACAGGGGCACAGCACCCAGCCCCTACCAACACAAGGGACGTGTCCTGCATGACCATTTTTTGCTGTCCTTTTTCCCTCTCTGAGCAACCAGACTCCACACAGCTCTCCAAATGGGTTTGTTAGAACAGGATATCAAGCACAAAACCTCAGGGGAACTCAGCGAACTAACAAAGCAGCCTTGACCTGAGCTTTCTTCTGCTCCTGCCTTGGGCATGAACTCCATGTAATGACTTGTTGAGAAACACCAGAGAGAGCCCAGCTCTGCCCACAGCACTGCTGGAACGCAGCCCTGGCCCCGCAGGTCATTTATCCCTGTCATTCCTCCTCCATGGCAGTGCYGTGGCTTTCTGCTCCTCTTAGTGACCATTCCACTCTCTTTTTTCAGGAATTCTACCTAATAATCATCACGGGATTTTTTTTTTTTTTCCACTTCCTTTCATACACTGCCCTGCAGATTTACTTGGAAACAGTGGCACTGCACTTCAGGAGGAGATCCTGGAAAGCAATCTTCCTCACCCCGGGATGCTGGCATGGAATTCGGCTGAGGAGCCTGGGTTATTGCTTTCCTCACTGAAGGGTTCCTTTCTCAAGCTGCTTCTTTTTCCCAAGCTGCCTGCCTTTGGCAGAGCACCATTTTCAATATCRCATTGCATTCGATTCCAAATATAGGCAAGTTCTTTTATTTTACATTATATTCCCTGGGGGACTTCAAAGAACTCTACTATTAAAGAATAGTAATATTTAGAGCTTTATTATTACATCACACACTGGTGATATATATCTAAGCTGAAATTATTCCATTTTTCCACCTTGGCACAGTTCACAGACCTCCTGTCCATCCTGTCATTTCAGCCCAATTAAATGACATTAAATATTTCCAAGTCTCTCACATGCCACATTCCTGGCAAGGACAGCAGTGACTCTGTAAACAGACAGAAAAAAAAAAAAATGCAACTTCCTCTGCAGCACCTGACCAAATGCAACTTTACACCAAATGTAGAATTTCAGGAATTTTAAAGCACTTGATTAKAAAGGATGAAAAACTAATCACCAAAGCTACAGAAGCATCCTTCAGTATTTTGCAATTATTTCCAAAGAATCATAGACAACTGCTCTCATTTATTCATTTCACTGTTGCTCCATTTACAAATGTGCAGATTCATTGACTTCCAATATCTCATTGATTACAATGAAAAAGGAACCAGGATGGCAAAATCCCTACAAAATCCCTTTATTATTCAACTGTTTGGGGCWGCCCCAGCCCCCAAACAACCCAGAATTTCTTAATGCTCAGCTTTAGGGAGTTGGCTTCAAGACGCAGCCCGGGTTTGCTAATTTTTAAAAGCAGAAGCCTGGATCAAAGGCAGCATCTTAACAACAAAATAACTTCATTTGCTATTCATTGAAGCGTTGGAGTACGGAGGAGTCTGAAAATGCAGGCTGGGTTATCACCGCCACACCTCCACCTACACACGGCCGGGTGTGAGACGCTCCAGCCGCGATTCCTGGGGCTCCAGGAGCGATTTCCCCGGGGAAAATCGCACCCMCAGCCTGGATCCCCCCAGCAAGGTGAGAACACCACACCGAGACACCGCACAAACCGCAGCACTGCAGCAGGAAATACCTCAGCCAGGCAGATTCCTAAAAACTGCTTCTTAAGATACAGCATTTCACACRACAACTGTGTGAACATCGGATTTGCAATCGAGGATGACTGAGGGGTTTTTTTTTCAGGGCTTGGGGAAGGAAAGGTTTACACTTTTTCTTTTGTCTGAGTTAACTTTCTACATATTTCTGGCTTGCAAGACAATCGCGGTGTGYAAAGCAGCTGCATTTAGTTAGAGACTTTTAAAAAGAGTTTTCAACTCTGAGGTGCTCTTTGGAGTCCCAGCAGACTGCTGGATTTCTACATCTGTTTCCAAAGAGCAGGATCCAGTGTCACACCTCAGGGAAACTCTTTCTTTCCCCTCTCTTTGCCTACTTAAATCCATGCACAAGCTTTAAAAAACTCCCCTGCCCAACTCTCATTTGCAACACTTTAAACCCCTGTGAGGACATAATTAACAGAGCAGTTTCAGTAGCAGTTAATTATAGAAACAAAGAAACGATGTCCTGAAGATAATTTCCTGCTACTTSGAGCCACTTTTGTCAAGAAATACAAGGTTGCAACCTCAAACCGTGACATCYAGTCTCATCCTCTTAGAGGCTTAAGGCAACAAAAGCATTTTGTTTGTTTTTAAACTCATTCCTGGATAGTGGCTGAAGCAGCAGCCTGTGACCCAGGGATGAAACAATTAACCACAGGGACTAATCAAGAGCTGTGGAACTTTATCTSGCAACTTTCAAGGAATCAGCAGTACCCCTACAATCTAAATCACAATCTAGAGATCTGYGGGTTGATTACATGCTTTTAAAATGTTTTTATTATATTATTTGCATTTSTGTCATTGTGACTCCTCACAAAGTTACACAGATCTGGAAGAGCAATAACCAAGCTGAACTGGGAATATCCAGAGACACACGCTACAAAAAATATCCAAGTTGGGGASTTCCTGCTCCTCAAAGTGACATTAACTTTGTGCTTTTATTTGGAGCACTTGGGCCAGACCGTGAGCACCTTTGGAAGAGCACAAGTTAAAGGCAGTGTGAATGCACGAAGCTTTTGGGGTTGTTTTACTCCCTACAAGGAAAGGTCACGGACAAAAAGGGGCAGCAGCAGGAGACAGYGGTGCACATTCTATTTCTGAAAATGTCAGGGTTAAAGGGTAGGGACTGAAGATTCTGTAAGGGTTTCTGATGGAGYAAAACCTGTTTACCCAACCACTACTGTCACCTTAAAGAAATTTATAAAACAGTTTAGAACTGTTTTTTTCTTTGTTTGGTTTTAATTGATGTTGGATATTCAGGTTCCCTGATTTCAACAAAACCTAATTTGGGATAAAACACAGTTTGTGGTTGTACCATGTGACAGATGTCTACCTATAAAAAATAAATAAATCGCTTGATCTGCTCATGAATCCACACTGTAAGCATTTGCCAAAGATACATAAAACACAGGAAATACTTCATCGTGGAAAGTGACTGTACATAATCCCAGATCCTAGCCCAGGTTGGAAGGGAACTGGAAGGATCACCTGGTCCAGCCTTTTGTGAGAAAGRGAGCCTGGCTGAGATTATTCAGTCTCATCTTGGAAACCTCCAGCAGTGGGGATTCCAACACATCCCCGGGGGGATCATTCCAGCAAATCATTGTTCTCACTATGAAAAAATGCTTTCTTATGYTGAGCTGAAACCCTTCTTGGTGTAACTTGTACTACATGACATGTACTATGATGATTATATTAATAGATTCACATCAAGGTGAATTCATACATGATAGCTATTCCAGGCAGAATTCACAGGAAATAAGAAATTGTCAGTTTTGGAACCAATGTGATCAGTTGCTTAATGCTCGTGGGGTTTTGTTTTTCCCTTCCAGGCTCTTTGAAATTTGAAAGAATTCATATGACCCTAAAGCTTYGAAATTGTCTGAAAAACAAGGGTAAAAAAACAGCCTTATTTTCCCCTTTTAAAAAATACAGCTATTTGTTGAGCACACACAGCATTCCCTGGAGACACTAGAAAACAACGTTTGRAAATTTTCCCATTGAGAAGTCATGAAGAATTCCAAGCCCGAGCTAGAACTCATCCAGCCATTGAATGTGCCCCACGAGACTCCTGTGAGCCGCACTGGGACATCGGGAAGTCATTCCAACACATCCACTCCCCCACACACAGTCCCAGGAAAAGCATCATTCCAGGGATATGGAAAAGGGAGCTATATCTGTTAGCTACAAGCAATTTTGTAAAGGCAGTTCTCTCTCAGTGTTTACAATTTGGGTTMAATTTTGGCTTTTTTATCAACTTCCTCTTTTTAGCATTCACTTTCCCCCCCTTCTTTAAATATTAAATACAGTCGTATTATGAACCAGGGTTTCTCAGAGGTGGTTTGTGATTTAAGCAGCCACCATAAAACCCTTTGGAGGAGCCGGAGCTCACGCAGATCCAACTCTTACTGAAATTCTCATGCAGGCGTCCAAAAACACTGCTCACTTTTTACTGACTTGGCCTGGAGGAATCGGTCCTTGCCCAGTTCCAGCTATCCCGATTCCAAAGTCCCTTTTTCTGCCTGGTTTACACGTAAATCACTCGCAAAAAGGCAAGAACCAGAACCCTGATCAAGCAGAAGCACCGCGGGATAAACATCATTCACTAAAAACAAAACGGAGACGCTTTCTTTTTGGCGAAAACAAATAAATAGATAAAGAAACAAACATTTTTGAGGGATACAAGGGGGCTGAGACGGCAAACATGCGCTTAGAGCTGGATATAAGGGACAAGCCCCAGTGTGATAACGCACCTCGGGCACCATCAATCACGGACCGCAAAGCGGGACCGCCTGGCAATGGTTACGCCGAGAATGCTTACTGGCCCCAACACTTGGAAAGCGCTTTTTTACGAAGCAATTAAACGCAGACGGAGCATAAACCCCCGAGTTGGTTAACGGGAGGCGGCGCGGGGCCAGCGCTGGAGCCGCCGGGCTCCCCTGGGTGCCGGCCCCGCTCCCCTCACGCCGCCCCGGGACCCCCCGGCACCGCCGCGTCCCCCTCACCTTGCGTGGCGTCCCCGGGCTCGGCGCGGCTGCCCGCCCTCAGCAGCAGCAGCAGCGGGAGCAGCAGCGGGAGGCTCCCGTCCGCGCCGCCCGGCTGCTGCATTCCTGAGCCGGCGCTGCTCCCGCATCCACCGCGGGGCCGCCGCTCCTCCGTCCCGCGCTGTGCCGGCGGGCGGGGAAGGCGGCGCGGGCGGGGAGGGAGCGGGGC